AGGTGCGTGCAGCTGCTCTCTCCTCGCAGGAACACCTCCAGGCCCAGCCCTGGCGTGGGGCAGGCACAGGCAGCGGGAGCAGGGAAGCATTGCCCCTGGCGCGGGTGGCTGTGGCCAAGCCCACACCGGGAACAGGGATGCTTTGCCACGGGGCACAGCTGTGGCTGGCCACCAGGAAGGTCTGCTTGGCAAGTGGCTATTCAATCTCTTGGGAGATCTCAGCTCCTCCCCTCTGAGGGGGGAGATAACTTCTATGTGTTTTACACATGTTAATGCAGTTATGACTAACCGATACCCCTCCCAAAATACAAAACATTTATAAGAGTTTTGCCAAGATTAGGAATTCCCAAGTGCATGGGGTGGCACACTGGGAAAGGGAGAGGTGGAATGTTGTACCTTTTCAACAGTATCTCCTACTCCAAGGATCTACAAAACCTCCCAAGCCAGCAGTGTTGTGTGGGTCTGGATGAACAAAGGCAGGGAATGGTATAAATTGCCTTTTTTTCCTTTCCCTATCACCTTGTTCCTCTTTTTTATCCTAGCCACCTGAAGAAGGAAAGTGACAAACCCCTTTAAATGGACTTCCACTGTCAGTGTGACATCATCATGTCTTTCTCTCAAGAGGAGCAATCAATCAACCAAATCCTGGGGGAGAGGAAGCTGCAAAGTGACACATCCTGATCCCACCATGCAGTAGAGTACAAGAGAAGATGACAAAAAGTATGGGATGGCATCCTGGGAAAAGTGGAGGAGAGCAAATGGGGAGGGACTGACACACCACTAATAGACCTGAAGTGATTGGTACGTGATTTCAGCTGAGCTCCGAAGAGAAGAGAATCAGTACTGCACAGAGCTCAGAAAGACAAAGACTGACATGAATTCAGGGTGGCAGGAGCTCCATCCTTTGTTTTGGGGGAACAGTTGCATTAAATAAAAAGTGCAGAGCATTGCAGGACTTCATGTACAGGATGCTCCTGCCTTTTCTGCTTCTGCAGGAGGAGGTGCGGCCAAGAAATAACTGCAAACACAAAAGAGCCTTTTTTCAAGATTCCTCCTCAACACCCCACCCCTCTTTAAAGTGTAAGATACTGCTTAGCGATACAGAAAAGCAACGTGGAACTTTTTCAGATTAGCCAGAGCAGCTTCCCATTCTCCCAACATCCCTTCAGATGCAAACAGAGTGTTCCAGGTCCCTTGCTGAGCGGCCTCTCCTGCCTGCAGAGGGTCCGGTCCCAGCCATCGGGGTGCAAAGCACCGCAGGACTGTTTGCAGGATGGGGGCTGTGCTGTCCCCAGCTGATGGGAAGGGGCACGGCCATGAGGTGCTAAGCACCAGCAGACTGTTTTGGACACTGCCATCAGCACCGTGACCCCTCTGAGCCCCGTGGGGAGAGCTGGCATGGCGTGACACTGCGTCCTGGGACTGTCTGTAAGATGGTGGCTGCCCCTTTCCCCTCACCCCTCCTAATTGATGTACTTTAACTCATGCACATCCTATTAGACGTGGCAGTTTTATGTAGCAACTTGTGACTCCCTTGCCCCTGCGTGCGTGTTCTGATTTCACAGTTGTATCTCTCGATTGGTCCCCCATATATATATATATTTACTTAACCATTAAAGGAAAAAACAACCAACAACCCAGCTATGGAAAAGAAAAAAAACCAACCACCCAAAAGATGTTTCCCACGCACTCCCGAGCCCTGACACACATTCTAATAATTTATATATATAAATATATATATGAAGCTCTTAAAAAAGGAAAAAAAAAAGACAAAAAAACCCTTTCAGAAACGAGACTCTGGTGTGTTCATTTCTTTTCAGTGGGGCAGGGGGAGAAGGGCAGAAACACTCCCGGTGAAAAGTGGGAGTGGCTGGAAGTGGGAAAGGCCTGCCGGAGCCCGGCAACAACGGGAGGGGCGGGGCGTGCGCACGGCGGACCAATGAGAAGCGAGGAATTTGCATACG